GTTAGGTTTCCTTGATTACTCAAAAATTTGGCGTCCTGCGAGAACCGTAGCTGAATTGCAATTTAACGGCAGAATACATCACTTGTTAAGAGATTGGAAAATATCAAAGTTTGAAGTAGAGCTTGAATATAAAAGAATACATTCTTTCAGCTAAATCTATAAATTAGGGTCTTCTTGGCAAAATACGATATTCTATCAGTTACCAAAGTTTTCGTAGCAGAAATGCGAGTGCCACAATGTAATTGGGCGCATTGGCGCTAATTGCGTCTCAACAATTTTTATCTGCTACGAAAATTTTAGATCAAAAAATTATCAAGAGCATGTAAAGCACAGACGCACATTTTCTTTTTTGATCAAGAATGTATATTTTTATTTTCAAGTTTCAAAAGGAGTAAAAGAGTACTCAATTGAAACGTTGAACCATCCTACTGCATTATCACATTTCTTTTTCATGTCTCATAGTCAGTTTTTACTTTGAAATGTTATTGCCTGACGACGGACCAGCAATTATTCATATTGCATAATTAAAAAGGTACCGTTAGTCGTATCGTGGATTCTTATCACATTATCCTTGCCATCGACACATCTAGAACTGACGGCAACTACCCCAATGGCGAGTGTGATGAGCAGCGTTCGGAGCATCTTGAAAATACTGAGGATCAAAGATTATCAGAATAGAGGAAACTGACAACAGAAGCAGAACGGCTTTTATGATCCTGAAGGCTTTAAATCGGAGACAGGGTTAAGGCCACGTATGGTAAGGTGACGCTTAGAGTTCTGGTTGGAGTAGGACTAGTTGCAATGAGGTCGTTATCAGGTTGTAAATGATGCTTGAATGGTCCTGATATGGAAGCAGCATAGCAAACGACAATTGCAACTTGCTAATGATAATAGCTAATACCACTATTAGCTGGGGCTCACTACGAAAGGGAAATATAATTTCTAAAACGATAAGCGTATGATTTCTTACCACTTTTATCGATCATTCTTGTAACAGAAAATTTGAATGACGGCTGACATGAGAGATGCAAAATCGATGCCTATTGTGTTTTTCTAAGCACATGCTAACAGCACCAAATTCGTCTCAGTGCTTGCACTAAATGTACACCTCAGCTAAAGGTCAAAAGTAGAG